AATTAATTAAAGAAAAAAACCTCGTGACGCCATACGATAAAGTGCTTAGCATCTTAATTACTTCAGTTAGCATGGCAAGTCAACATGTCTGTCTGAAAAGTATCAATTAGATGAATGGCCCATGGGCACCCATGGGCGGGCCGGTTTTTTTAGAAAAAAACATGGGCTGGGCTGGGCCGGGCCGAGGTTGATAGCCCATGGGCTGGTCTTTATTGGCCCAACCCGGCCCATTCAGACCTCTGATCAGAATATGTATGAATCTTGAAATCGAGTTTTTTTTGAAAAATTAACTTTTTTTTTAGGAATGACTCTCTCTCTTAACTATAAAGTTCAATAAATAAATTCGACATACGATTTTCTCATTTTCCTGTTGTTCATATTGAATTCGTTCCATCATTCGTTGATGTTCTCTTTCATCTTCTTCTCGTTCTCGTTTCAAACGTAATTCAGCTTCTTCAACTTGTCGACGTTTATCTTCTAATTCGTTTCTCTTTCCATTTTGATCTTCAAGTACTTAAAAGAAATAAAAACAACCACAACAATTAAATTCATATAAAAAATAAAACAAATAAATAAATAATGAACGAGCATTAGAGAGCTAATAATCAGAAAAAAATCATTTTGCTTTTCCGAACATCATCTTACATTCAGTCTTAGTAGACTGTGTCAATAATCGTGGTGGTTTTTCTAAAATAAATCGAACGCTAAGATGTGTATTCTATTCTACAAACCTTGTCTAGCTATTCGCGTACTTCTTTCAAGTTCTTCTATTTTTTTTTGTAACGCTTCACGCTCTTGTTCTGCTTGTCTACGAAGTTCATTTTCAGTTTTAGCTCGTTCTCTAAAAATTAAATAAAAATAAATTAATAATAATAAAAATTTACTTTTCAATTTGAACATACCTTTGTTCAATAAGAGCTAATTTTTTTGCTTCTGCTTGAGCTTTAAGTTGTTGTAATTCCATTGAATCTTCTTTTCGACGACGCGTATACAATTCATGATTACCCATAGATAGAGATAACATTTGTCGATTAATACGAAGTCTTTGTGTAAGAAAAATAAAATCTGGAGAACTTTTATCCGCTGGTTTTATCAAAAACTTTTTTCCATTAAATGTAATATTTCGTATTTCACTCCATGGAAAACCAATTTTAGGTATTAATCTTAATGAATAAAATTAATTCAAACAAAAAAAAAACAATCGTTTTCAGTGTATTTGTTTCTTTTTTTTTACTTGTCTTGTGTATCATAAATATTAAGGCCAAGTGCATCGACGCCAAGATAAAGGTGAGTACCTTTTCTATTTTGAATATCAAAATAAGTTACACCATACATTTCAAGATCTTGAGCAGTTTTAAGATATTCAAGCATTGCCTCTTCACTAAAACAATCAATGAACTTATCTCATGTGATATATTTTGTTTCTAATGAAGATTTACTGAAATATGAATGGTACTTTAGTTTAAATTATTATAAGAAATACTCAGTGTGAAAAACTGATATATCTTCTATCGTAGTACAATAAGTAATGATTATGTTACTGTGCATTAATGTGTTTAAAATTGTGAAACAATATTTTAGTTTGTTTATTTGACAGCATTTTTAGTTTTTATTCCTTGAAGTAGAACTAAGCAGAATAATATGTTATAGTTTTTCAGGACAGCGTAGAGAAAGAAGGATACTCCCGCTTTTCAGTTACCTTGTGGTATGAGTTGCTCCCTAGCGACAGATTCAATAGCCGAAATAGAAGTTAGTGGCATGTATGTCTAGAATTATTTCATGGCGAGTAGTAATGAGGTTTGCACACAGTACTTTGTCGATACGTGTAGAATAACGTAGTCACTCAATAATAGCGGCTTTAAGGTACAGTAAGAGTTATAAAACTTTTCTCAGTCAGGATACAGAGTACGAGAACAGTTTACCTTGAACATCTCTAGATATAGCTGAACTATCGTAATATTGATTTTCCTATTCCAACAGACTGCTAAATTGGTTTATCATTTTTTCTTTGACATTTATATGACAGTTTACTCTCTGAATATTATATTATCGATAATAATAATTACTTTGTAAAACTTATATTCCTCTTTCCAGTCTACAAAAGACGCTATGTGACCTTGACTAGACAAATACGAATTTTAGAAATGACAGTTTTTAATAACAAGAAATCATCGTAGACTGCATATATCATGTTTCTATATTCAAAGAAGAGCATAACATGATTTGGTATTGTAAGTATATAGAAATATTTTGAAGTAAGAACAACTTTGTTAATATTCTAGATTTTAGACGCTTTCAATCACCATCAGCCTGCTATTGTGTCCATTCTATTTCATCTGTCAACCTTCAACAGACTTTTTCTTCTGAAGTTTAGAGTCAACACTAAATCTACTTCTCTTCCTAATTTAAATTCTATCGTCATGATGTTCTTATTGGTCAATGTATTTGAAAGATTAGTTTATCTAATTTCAATATTTAAAATTTTTTTTTTATTCTTGAGATTATCTTACTTTGTTAATCCTTTATGTTCTGTCCACCAATTCACAACACGTTTTACCCATTCTTCATTTGATAAACGAAATTGTTCTCGAACACGTTGAGGTAAAAGTCGTTCTTTAGCTAATGTTCCTAGCTGATGTTTATTTTCATCATAATCTCCATATTTAGCTTGCATAGAATAAGAAGCAAGTAGAACACATGTTTCAGCTGGACAATAAATTTCATCAGCAAGAATTAAATTTTTTGCTTGACGATAAAAAAGTCTCTAAAACACAAAAGTTCTTCATTTAAAACAAAAAAGAAAAAAAGAAAAGAGAAACTTATTACTTAGAACAGTCTAAAAACTATCGAGATTTGAACATATAACTCCACAGAAACGAATTAATCAAATTTTTATTTCTTCAAAAATTACAAATAATGTCTTTCGTTATTTTCAAATATGTCAACTATTTGAATTGACTTATCAAAAATAACAAGTATAGTAATCTAAGTTTAAGCATTTCATGATCTTGATTACAATCAGGAAAAACGATTTTGAATTTCTTTTACATACTAGACAATGGTTGTGTATATCGAATCAAAAGCATTAACTCATAACGATATAATTAGTATATTTTCAAAGTTATAATATTTCAAAGCCTTGCTATGAGTCTGTATTTCTTTATTAACAAATACAAGCTTGATATCAGTCATTGTTTGCATCCTAATTTTTCCTACAAGGATTTATAAAGAGCTATATATGAAATCGTGATTCACGTGTTATTCGATGTGATTGATTAAAATAGTGATAACTACTCTAAAAAACCTACAGGTCAATATTTTGAATCACATGAGAAGAAGTTCGTTTGCTAACTGACTGGATGACATGTCTCAATTTGTAATCACTTTCTTTCTAATAAAACTAAATCTTTCAGAATAAAAAGTCATGACGAAACTCACATCACTCTTCCAAAAGTGGTCTTCTATTACAAGTTTAGTTTTTTTTTCTAGTATTCACCTGAAAAATCCAGAGACTAGATTTTTAGATATTAAAAACCTCCAAAATTCGCTGAATTTTCGAAAAAATTGATATCTGTTGTGTTCAAAATTTGATGAATTTTCTATACATATTCATTCATATTGTGTTGAGTAGAGATTTTATAGAACAGTGTTTCGTGTTCGATCTATTCTAGATCTTCAGGAAACAATGTCGCCTAAAAATGGTGTCCCGTAAGTTCTGGACCTCAACGAAAATTAGTTTATACGTATGTAAACAAAGAATGATCGATATTCAACTTGATCTATATGAGGTTCGAGCATTTAGGATGATGCTTTAAATGGCTTCAATATTCGATGACATTTTCTCTTTCAACAATGATAATGATATAAATAGAAAAAACGTAATAATTAGAATATTGACATCGACCTGTACTTTTTTTTAGAAAGTTTTAATGAACTATAAATTCATCGTACATAACGATACGTTTTTTCTGTTTATATGACTATTATTATAAGAAATAATATCATCAAATAATATGCCATTTTAAATATCGTCCTTCAGAACTTATGGGACAAGTAGTTAAGAACTTGCGCCTAGATCAAACTGCCAAAAGTTCCAATATTAAGGATAGTCAAATCATCGACATCGATCCTGATAGCTCATCGTCATACTGTGTCTCACTTCAATCTTCGTTATTGCATTTCTAGAGGATTAAGTAAGAGGATGGTAAAGAAATATGTCTCAAAATAGAGAAAATAAAACAATCTTTCTATTGTTAGCAACAACAGGCCCATCATTTTTCACATTTTAATCTTGCAGAGATTGTGCTAACATCTTTTTGTTATGTATCAAGTACTGTACGCACTTGAAAAACAGAAAAGAAATTTTTTCCCGTAATAATATCAGTTGAAGAATGGTGGTTTCATTAAAGAAATAGAGAACATTTTCATAAATTATTAAAATATTCTATCTTGATACTTTTAGACTGTTCTAAATAAAATTATTATTTTTTTATACTTGAGTTATTTCTTCAATAAGTTCTTCTGAAACATCTTCGGGATAGAATCGAACAAGAAATTCAAATTGTACTGTTTGTGATGCATCTCTTTGTACATCTTGACTAAGAATTTTTTTATCAAGTCTAAGCCAACAAGTAACATTTTTTGAATCCGTATATCGTAAACCAAAAAACCATATTTCACGAAGGCCAAGATTTTTAGCAATCTAAAAATAAATATAAATTGTATTTGTTTTTAAATTTATTATTATAAACTTTTACTTGATCAAATAATTGTTTACCGGTAGCATTCGGTTCTATGCTAAACTCGAATTCATTTTCTACTGAAGTCACATGTACATTGAACTAAGAATAAAAATAAAATTTAAAATAAAAATTCTTTGTGTAATATCAATTTTGTTATAATTCTCCAAAGTAAATGAAATTTTTCTAATTCAGTACTTTCTAAAATAAATTCATCTATAAGAATCTTTTCTTGTTTTCATTTAGTTGAATAAATAATATTCGATTAAAATTTAATCAATTACATTCGAATGTAATTAAGAGCAAATCAATTCTTTCAATAAACAAATAGATCAACAGTCAAATAATCATTGCTTTTCTTATCATTATATGTTGCTTATCAAATTCTTTCACTGCATTCCATCATAGCAACATCCTGCAGTTTCATTTTCTCATATTAAAAAAAATTGATTGAGAAATCCATGAGCGATTGATGATATAGTTATTATTGTTTGTGGTTAAATCTTAACTTACCGATTTAGGTGCCATTGTTAAAATATATTATTGTATTTGTTTCACAGCGTAATCTTTATTATTTAAAAATATTTTACACATAGAGATATTCCCCCTGTCTGTAATCGTACACTAAGTATATGTTCGTAGGTATATGAGTTTATCTAAAACGAATAAAAGAAAAGAAAAAGAGGTAGAAGAAGAACGAAGCATTGCGATGTATGTCAATAGTAGTGCTACTATTTGAGAAAAGAAGAAAAAATGCTAAGTAAATGTGAATGATTCATTGAAACGAACAAATGGTGTCATTGTCACTTCTTTTTTTTGAAACGTAATTTTTCTCTTTGTCGATGTCAGCTTGATGAGCAAGAGACGAATTAGAATAAAAATATTTATTTCATCTTCTACTATAAGATGACAAACGAAAACGAGCATTTACTATGAATCAGTATGATATAACACGAATTAAACATGATTCTCATAGAAAAAGATCAGAACAGTTGAATTTTTAAAATAAATTTTAATGAATATTTGTCATTGAAAAACAAAACGACGGAAAAAAAAAAACTTTTATTTAACTTCTTTTTGTTTTAACATATATCAGCAATTTGTCGCAGGTATTTCAATATCTAGTAAAATGAAATTCAAGCAAAAGAATAATAAAAAGAAAACACGCAATATACTTTTTGTTTTGTTTAAAAATTTGTCTTCGACAAGGACACGTGAAAAAAAAAAAGAGTATGCAAGTTATATTCTTATCATTTGTTCTTACATATTAACGATTCAATAAAAACCTTCTATTTGAGAAAAAAAAAGAACAGACAAGACTGAGTTGTATCATAAATTTGTCTTCAAACACTTATTGAATAGGAGACAAAAAGTGATCAATTGCTAATTATTCTTTTCAAAACTAGTGCATCATCTTGACTTCATGAACACATAGTTATACAAGTTTGTCTACATGGAATAAATAAAACATGAGAAAAAAAGAAGTGTTGTTTTAAATCAATAATATTTCTTTAGTTGTTCCACATTGGAATTATTCATGTTGATGAATAATAGTTATATATATATGATCATAGTTAATGTCTGAAAATTCTTTATTATTATTATATAAACAATAATAGACTTACTTAATAATACAGTGTTATTGTTTAAAAAAAAGTTATAGATCTTGTTCTTCTTTTTTTTTTGTTATTGTCTAACATCTATTTAAGATGAAATCTTACACATAAATATACAGCACTTACTATTACCACGGTTTCAACAACAAAAATAGAGTGAACAAACAATAAATGCAAAAAAAAAAGAGCAGAAGATAAGACGATAGTCAATTTTGTGTGTATGTAAGAAAAAAAAAAGAAATGAAAGAGAAATAACAGGTAGATATACTGCAAATAATAGAAAGACGAACAGCGGTGTCGATGAAGAAGGTTCGTATGATTTCAACTATTAATTTACATTGTAGAAAAAAAAGAGAATTTTCATCTACCTGTATCTATGATGAAGACGAAAGAGAAAAAAAAAACGAATAGACACAAATGATACTACAAATGTAGGCATTGATTCTAATGAGAGAAAGAATGTGTCATTTTTATACAACAAGATCATTGAAATTTTTTTAAAAATCTTATCGAATTAATCAAATTAATGAATATAACGTGAAAGAAAATGTTTTTTTTTAACATATAGACCATTTCAGGTAAAATGAGACATCCCTACCTTAAATTCTTTACAAGGGTTATATTTCGGAATAAGTTCTATTACAATAGACATGTGTAAATATGTTTGCTCTTTCAGTTGAATATTAATTGAAAAGAAATTAGTGATTGTCTCTCTAATCATAGAACCAAATAAATATGAAAACTTCAGAATTGACTCTACGGTACGAATCGCTCCTATAGTGAAATATACAATAAGACTAGACTCAAAATAACTTCTTCTTAAAAAACTGATTTAAGTATAAATGATTTATTATAGGGGTGCTTCCTTCCGATTGATCCCTGTTTGATTTGTTCTAATTTAATTTTCTTCAGATTCTGAATTCCATCTACATCCTATTTGAACACATACGGTTTCGACAATGCCGTTTAACACAAGTTTTGCTTACGTGCTTGACAGTAAATTGAAAGCCTAAATAGTTCAACATTTTCTAGTTTTGCTTAGTAGTCGCAAAACGAAGCGTGAAGAACAAGTGGCGACAGAAATATCGAATATAAAGATTAGATTAATATTTGCTTTGTAGAATAGTTTGTAAATATGAATTGAAAATAGTCATCTTACGAGATACGAACAATATATGCTTTCAATTTTAATTGATCTTCTCATGGATTTCAATTGAAGGATTCATCAGGATCTAATTGGGAAACAATTTATAATGGGAAAATCTTCAATTAGGAACGAGTTGAGGTAGGCTATTGAAGATTGCAATAGTTGATTGATATTGTTTAACAGAAAATTTAATAAATTGATTGACAGAAAAAAAAAAGGATCGAATTAGTTATTCTCGATAGGTTTTCTAATAGATGAAGATCATTGCTTAATTTTAAGTACAATACCTAAGTAAATTTCACATAACTTTGTCTTAATCTATAGACAATCTAAGATTGACAAATAAGAAATCTTCTCCTATTCTTCAACTCGATATCATGTGTTGTATACATCTGTAAATGTCTGAATCAGAACAGTGGTATAGATACCACACAATCAGCTCAATATAGAAAGTATAATCCTAGACAAAAAAAAAAAACTGATAAATATTTGGAGTCTTATCATGGTTTTATGGATGACCTGTTAAAATTCTCGAAACTATTTTCTTAATTTTTTTTTCCCAATAATACTAATAATTCTATTCTCTTTAAACTTCTTTATAGTAAACATTAATAAATCTCTCCAAAATTTGAATACTATTGACAAGTTATGCATAAACTAATCTCTTAAACATTCAAAATCAAGATCAGTATTGAATCTTAAATTTTTGATGTTTTATAACATGTTCGTTTTCCTTAAACATCTTCACATTATTGGATAAGTATTAACTAGATAGAATTAAATTATTATTTTTTAAACAGCTAAACCAAAAACATTAATAATCGAAAATATATTTTTATTTTCCCATTTAACTGTAACACATCCGTCTGTTGTACCATCCCATAAACAAGATAAAGCTGTATGTAAACCAAATTTCATTTCTTTTGTTTTTTCCCCTATTAAAACTGTAACAACATATTTCATTTGTTGATTAGAATTTCTATATTGAATTTGTTTTAATCGATGTAAAACTTCAGTTAAAATATCAATATTCCATTGACGTACATATTCATAGACAAATTCGTTTTCACCTATTTTTTCATGTAAAATTTGTTTTATTAATATTTTTATTTCATCAATCGTGAATGACATAATACAATAAATAAGATTATAATAATAAACAAAAAAGAGAGAGAAAAAAAAGAAAAGAAGAAGACCAACGCGCTCTATTTAAACAATTTTATGTTCAATGACTGGTTTATGAGAATATTCATGATCAATATGAACAAATGCCTAAAACATGAAAATATTTAATAGAAAAAAGAAACAAACAAAGATTTTCATTTAAATATACTCGTTCAACTTCAGGTAAATCTTCAAGTTTATTTTGTAAACCTTCTCCAATATCATGTGCTTCTTTAAGTAACATATCTTCAGGTAAAACAATATCAACTTCAACTAGATAGAATGAACCAAAATAAAATGCTCGTACAGTATCGATTTTTAAAATTAACGGAGAATGATTATATGATAACCACTAGAAATAATAATAAACAAAATATAAAATCTGTTAATTCAATCACTGTGGAATTAATATGTGAAACACGATTTAATTGCTATTGCTAATCGTAGGAAGATAGTTTTATTTTATCGATTTTAGGACAAAATTTCTTCATCATCTTTTCTCTTTATCCTTCAGAAGTGCGATAAGGAAATAATTTATATATTATAATTCTCTGAGAAGCGTCTGCCAAGGGTCTGTGGTTCCAAAGTTTTATCCCTATACTTCAACACTGCTTTTAGATCGTGTTTCACAACAATATTTCTTTGAAAAAAAAAAAATTATGTACAGTTATTTGTGAAAGAAATTTTGGATCAGCTGTATGTCCACTTAATCGTTTTACTTGACCTAAAAGAAAATATAGATAATTAGAAATCGATAGACAAAAAAGAAAAGTATTTAACTTACCATTAGCTTGTCGAATCCATGTAAAGATAATATAAAATGAAATAAGAATAGCACCAATAGGATCGACGACAATGGCTTTTTGACTTATTTTCTCTCTATATGCAAATGAACCTTAAAATAAAATACACTTTTACTACATTCAAATAAATTCTATACTATACCAATAAGACCACAAAAAAGTGCAACAATATTTGAAAAAACATCATTACGATGATCAGAACTCAATGCTGACATAGTTGGAGTTTTAACACGATAACATAGAAAAAATAAAATTGCTTTACTAACAATTGTTATAACCATAACTGATACAGGTAATGCACTCATATCAAGATTTGTTAAAGTTTTTGTAGTATTTTGTTCGGTGAAATATTGTGCATCATTAACAATTGTATTAATAGATTCATAAATAACTAAAACCGATGCAGCACACATTATAACAGATAAAATTACAATAGCTATTGGTTCAAGACGTGTACGACCTAAATATATGTTTAGTTTTTATAAAATATGAATATTAAGAATTAATATAGCAAGTTCTCGTTTTATTAGTAAAACACTCAATAGAGTTTTTCTATAGAAGATCTTGTAAATATTTAACTTTGAAAAATGATTTGTGAAGAACTACTGGAAAGTCAATAGTTTGACCAATTAATTATTGAATCAATAGAAAATTCGATTTAAATAAAAGTTTCATCGAAGAATTTTAGGAAGAAATTACTTCACAAAGAATCTTTTTAATCGAAAGCTATGTTTTGTTAATTAGATTTTATCTATTTGCAACTAAAAACTTCTGCATTGATATTGACTAAAATTTTCTTAAAAATCGTGTGCTCACACTAATTGTTTGGTATATATTCGAGAATCAAAAGGTAGAGTCTAACAACGTAGATTTACCTGTGTGTCTGTCTGTAACATGGTTACAATGATCAGCCAGGTCAAACAAGTATGATCGTAAACTATTGCATATGGCGATGAACGATGACATACATTGCTCAGTATAACGTTCATATATGTTCGTGTCGCATACGAAGATATACCATGATTTGCGGAGGGAACAAAGTGCTCGTTTACTCTCTTTGTACACAATCTCGTTTGACTTCATTTTTCTTCATAAATAACCACATAGCTCCGCACCCGATCATAAAAACATGTGATCGTAATACTGAGCCATGTAGTAAGATGAAATACGGTTATTTACTCGTGTATATAGACTCTTTATGCATCGATTTGGATATGTAATAGTATGGTATAAATGACTATCTAGCAAATTTAGCTTAAATAAGCGTGTAAAAGATTGTAGAGGGCATCTAAGCATAATGGTTCAAAGTGACCGTGCAGTATGGCGTTCATAAACGGTCTTAATTAAACTATTCAGTGTAATTGGATTGATAGTTTAATATTGTGGATAAAATCACGTACAATATTAATAATTATAGAATGATGACTCATTTGGAACATATACTTATAACTAACAAAAGTTACAGTTGCTGAATAATTTGATTTATATATTTTTTTTTAAAGTAAAAATAGTGATAATATAATTATCATATATTCATGTTGTTATTTATTTATATTAGTACCATCTGTATGTATAAAAAGAAAAAAAACAATGAGATTTTGAATTGAATGCATCAATACTTCAGCTTTATAATAAGAATTTAAAAAATCGATTTTAATGCTTGTCTATTATATACTTATCATGTTATTAGTTTCATTAATTCATTACTTTTGTTAATACATCTGTTAAGCTATTGATAAGCCCATACGATAGACACACTATCTTATGATTCAAACATTGTATCAAAACTAGATAGAATTCTGACTAGAATTTCTATCGTAGTGTACCATCCATTGTTAGAATCTAACTGAATGTACTCGAGTCTATGATTTCTGAATGTTTTTTCGAAATTGTATCTTCTTTCTGTAATTTTCTTATGATACACTCGAGCAATATAAAAACTAGACATTGCTAGCCTACTGTAGGACAATACCTTGTGGATAACGATATGCATCTCGTTTTTTAATAGCACGCCATGCCCAAAATAAAATAAGTGATGTTGTAAGATCAACAGCTGAATCAATGACAGAAGAAACAACTGAAAGTGACTTTGAAATAACAGCACCGACAATTTTTAATATGAATAAACACTAGAAAAATAATTTATTTAAATCTTATGAATTAAAATATTAATTATACATACAATATTTACACCAAGTGAAACTTTAGTTAAAATCTTAGACATTTTTTTTGCTTTTTGTATTTGTTCTTTATATGCATCATTTTCTGTGTGATTTTCTAATCCTTGATTATATAAACGTTCATAAACATCAATAAGTTCATCTTGATGTTTATAAAATCGTTTAACACGTTTTGACAAATGTGAATCTTCATCACGTTTACCTCGACGTCTTTCACGTAGATGTTTTAAAGAATAATATGAATCATCATCAGATGAATTCGTAGGTTGATTTTCTGTATTCACTATGTTTTGACCTGTTGAAATATCATTTTGCTGTTTTACATCGGTCGCTGTTGACGATAGATTATCTAAATTAGAACTTTGATCCGTTGTTGAATGATTATTTGTTTCTTGTATAGATTCTGATGATTGTACATGTTGTACATTTGATGGAAGTTCATTTACAGAAACTGTGTCAGGATCATGATCATAAGATACATTTGTATGATGCATATTACTTTTGCTATATTGTCAACAAATAATGAATATTAATACTCGATTTATGATAATGTATTTTAACTTTGCTCTTTCGTTCGTTCGTTCGTTCGTTACACTTCAATAAATCAAGTCTTCGAGGTATTCATTACTTCACAGATATTTTTTTTCTTTTTATTTTGATTATGAAAACATGATATAAACGATAGAATAGCGGTACAAATTGCATTCTTAAATATTTTGTTTCCCGACAACTATTGTATGAAACTAAAATCATAAATTTTTTTTTCTTCATTACAAACTTAAAGTTCAAATATATGGCGTATAGATGATTTTGCTTTTATTTTTTTTTAAATTTATACTACCAAAAATGTTATCTGATCGAATGTAATGATAATAATCATTTCATTTTTCTTTTTTGCTTTACTGAGAATATTATCTGACAGATGAAAATAATAATGAATTATTTTGGAAATTAACAAGTTAATTTTAAAAATATAATCAATGATTTACAAGACAGTAACATTGATTATATAATTGTATAAAGATTTTTGTATGATTCGTCTTTGCACTTCGTATCGTCATTCTTTGTCGCTGTTGACATCAATGTACTTTGCATGAAGAGAAGGTAAAGACGTTCTCATCAAAACGTTGTATTTTTTTTCTTCTCGGTTAATTATTGTATTGACCATGAATATACAAAACAATGTTTAAAAACAAAAAGAAAAACACATATTTTCTTTAATGAGAATCTAATAGAATATACAAATTATCACTAGGTATGAAAATAAATGTCTTGTGATTAAGTCAAATGTTAATAACAACAAGAAAAAAAAACACAATGTTGTTTTTTTTTTTTCATCAATTTTATCTACGAACAAATAATGATAAATAATATTAATGATAACAAATTACTGCTTTTTTTCTTTTTCTTTATATTCATATCTGACTAGCTCCAGACATATATTTATTTTCATACATAATTATTATAGATACTAGAATATAAAACTTGACTATATTTATTTATTTATTATTGATAAATTTGATATTGAAAATAAATTTTGTTATTTTACATTGATCGTACTGATTTATTAATGTTTTATTGATTAAATATGATATTAGATACATGATGTGATTTTCAGGGTTGCCAGATCTTGTGAAAAGTCGAAATGTCTAAAAGGACGCACAGCCAAATAAAATCGTAAATTTGCCATCTCCTTAGATTTTACTTTTAATAGAATAACAACAGTAGAACATGACATTCTACAAATTTTTGTCTGTTTATTTATGTTTTGCTGAGTATAAAAATATCCCAACGCGAAATAAATAGTCTGATGGGATCTATCATTTTTGGACTCTTGGAATAATATCTATGGTATTCGTAATGTTTTATAATAGAGTCAATATGAAAAGTGATAGCGTTGATAGATGCAGTTTATCATGCACTACAAATCAACATATCAATCGTATTCATCGATATTTTTATGCGTGTCAGACAGATGTGATATGATATTTGTCTGACCTCATATTAACTAATCGATGAATACGATTGATATGTCATTTTATAAAACATGAAAAACTACATTGATCTATGTTATTAGTTCTCATATTGGGTTCATGATAGAAATAGTACACGTATCATGGTTATTATTCGAAACATCCAAAATTTATAGATTCCATAGGACTATTCAGTCCACAAGATTTTTTCCATTTAGTAAAAAAAAAAACAAAATAAATAGGTAAAATTTATTTTCAATACCAAATTTACCAATAATAAGTACATATATGCAAGTTTTATATTGTATTTTGTATAATGATTATGTATCAGAATATATCTTGAGTTTAAGCTCAAATTCAAGTACAAAAAGGAGAAAAAAAAATGTAATCTATTTTTATTAAGTTTATTTATCATTATTTGTTCGTTGTTTTTGAATTTAACAGAAAATAATAGTCATGTTTTAAAAGTTAAAAATTTCCTATTGTAATACATATGAAACGAAGAATAAAGTTGATTGAAAAAAACTATATTTATTTTTATGAAAAAAATTATCACAATTTAAGTATAGATTTTGTTGATTTCTCGATCGATGTTAAACATAAAGCAGCTATTTCATCCCATCGGTTTCGTATTATATTTGATAATGTAACTGTATTTTCAGCAAAGGTTAACCAAATTCTTAGAAGTCTATACGAAAAAAAGAAATTTGTTTCAAATGAATAAAATCTATTAAGGTTTAATTTAATATTTATAACTTACTTCATTAATAATGAAGAATATTTTAAGTCTATACAGCGAATATTATCCAATGAGAAAATAATACTTGCATTGAGATGACACATAAATAAAACTGTTTGACGAAAATTATTATAACTAAAAAGAAAAACTTGAATTACGATTAGAATTGAAGAAAAAAAAAAAAACAATATCAAAAATTTACATATTAATAAAACGTTCAAAATTACTGCGTTGATTTGATCGTAATTGTTTCGAATGATAAGCTTGCCCTCGAGTTTTTATAAAAGTATCAATATTAACAAATATTAAGTGCAACTGAGTACATATTTGACGTATTATTATTATTAATGATTGTTCATTATAACCAGTTGTTGTTAACTATTTAAGAAATGATTAACATATTATCTTATTATATAAAATGAATTATATGAAAACATGAAGAGAACAATTGGTACCACACAGTAGAGATGTACATGATGACGCTGTCAGTGACACTAAGTTTTTTATCATCGTGATTCAACAGCAGTAGTTTCTTTGTTAGGGAGATTGTAAGATTCTATGAATTTGCATCCGACTTGAGTATCTGCAAGTCCAACATTTATGATTGTGCTGAATTCTGTCGGATTCAATCTTACTAAGCTAATTCAACACAGTGATGGAAGAGATTTTCGACAAGTTTCTTGAAAATAACTGCGACAGCAACAGATTTCAAGCCGCAACAGACATCTGTGATATACATATAGACGGTAGACGCTGGGTTTAATAAAGAATAAAAGAAAAACTCTTATTTTGAGTTTAAAATCTCAATTTTCTTAGAATGATCTGCGGATAAAAGTCATCGAAGTTTGACCCGCTGAGATCTCTATTGGAAAATATTGAATAGTGTGCCATCTAGCTATGCGTACAACCATTAAGATCGATATTGACGAAAAAAAGCTTCGCTTCTCATTGAAAAATTCCGAAAAAATATGGAAATTTAGCTTAGAAGCAATTGAGATTTGGATTAGTATATTTCATTGTGTAGTTCATATTTAATCGATACTTAAGGAAATGTCTCTTCCATGCTTACCGGCACTTTCGAAGAAAGGCTCGTTAGAAAAAATTGAAACTTTTGAGATAAATAAATCTTGATGAGTTGAACTAGAGTTGTCATAGACTCAACATTTCCAAATGTTTCTCGGTAGGAGCTATTGGGATCGCAGCGAGTATAGGTCACCCCATTTTCTCAGTTCCAATGTGTTCCACAGTGTTAATTTTTTTATTGATACTGGACACTGTTTGGGATGCCAATTTTTTATTGGTTTCTTTTAATCTTCTTTTATTCGAATAAAACAGTCAACATACCGTGGGTACCCCTAAAACTTCATCTTGTTCGGTAGATTCTAGTAAAAAATAGCGGCACATCATATTTTAAAACAAAAAAAGTACATAACCTAAACATTGTCTAGTATACAAATTTTTAGTTGAACTAATATTCATTGGATTAAGTCTATTCAAAGTCATATGTTTCGCGCATATATTGCCTAACCAAAGGTCAAGTAAATTTAATGTTTTGTTATTCCAGTATAATAACTTGAAAGCGTGAACACAAAGACTTAGACTCATGTATAAAGAGAAAAATCTTTTGATGCTACGAATCATTTCGATAACGTCGAAGTAATCGTCCCTTGAATTTGGTCTAACAGCGAACAATTTCTCAATGAGCAATCATTATTACTCAAACAAATTGTAATTATTATTAAACATCATAGCAAAAAATTCTCAATAAATACTTTCATCTATTTAATTTCTATTGTTTGATAAGATTCTTGCAACTTATAAAATGAATTTCATGACACTGAATAAAGTCATTCGATAATATCACTTACTTTAGANTAGGTGAGTGCATGTGGTAATGGGAATGCATGGTTTCGAATAAATCTTCTCGTCAGGCACATCCACATCACATATCTACATCGACGCCTATATATGTTGTCATGCAATGTCTTATTCGAGAGATTGATCTATCTTCTTTCTTCGCTACATCTTGTGTGCGCATCAGCTGAGAATTTGCCGAGATATGATACAAATATAGATTATTCTTATCATTGAGAGTGCTGACATTTTCAATTTTCTTTTTTCTGATATGGGAAATTCTAGATGAATTTTTTTATTTTATTTTTTCACGTCTCTTCGAACAGCATTGAGACGGCTGGATGCACTAATCATGAATATATTTGTAAATAAGTTTCGCCTCCTTATCTTGCTAACTGTCGTGAAACACATATGATGTGAAACTCCAACTCTTCTTCAACGTCATGTAATGTGAAAGACTTGTATAGTGCAGGTGACGATGACGAATACTCAGATGATTAGCATACAAAACAATATACACTTGTTGATATTGATTGTTTATCTTCATATAAAGTAAGGTCGGATATTTCTACATAATATTGCACAGCGCAGCAGAATCAAGAGAAGAAGATTGTGAAACTTTCACATTTGTCGAAGTTAATGGAACATACAGTTTGATCTCGTGAAGAAAACTTAGATAATCAGCAATTGGTAGTAATGTGTGATGTTTTTCGTTCAGTTCGAATTTTAGCGATTGATACATTGATTCAGGATTAATAAGACACATTTCATAGAGTTGTCGAAAACGATGACCATCGACACGTGTACAAAGAGGAAGAATAGTATTACCAAGTCCGATTCGTAGAAGAAATAATTTGACATGATCATGAGTCCATTGAGTGATACAATTAGGTAAGTCACTATAAAAACGAATAAACTATGGCACTGGAATAAAAAAATGTTTTATATCTTGTTGCCAATTAGACAAAAGTTATCAAGATAGTCGCGATCATAACACAAACTACGAATGAAAATAGATCAGGAATAAGAAATTAATACAGATTTCATCTTTTTTTCTAACTATTCTGTAACCTACGAAAGATAGAAAGAGATAACATGATTGAAATAATTAAGAATATAATGTTGATGAAAAAAAAAGAATTAATTTGCGCATAGAACAAGAATAAACAGTAATCGAGTTCATTCATTCTACAGACAACCACTGGTTCTCAATGAGTTAGAGTACTGACTAACAACAGACTAAGTTTACTAGTGTGACTCACCATCACAAACGTCCGAAAAACGACTTTGAATTTAAAAAACGTAGGTGCTCTCTATTACTGGAACACATAACAAATATTATTTTATTGATCGATAGTACGTAAATGAAACTTTCTAGAAATGTTTTATGCGCCCGTATAGATGACATATTTTGTTGGCGATGTGGCCAAAAATGATTTAGGTCTGTTACTGAAACGAATCGTGAAAATAGAAAAATATTTTTCATTGGCCTTATTGGCTTGTGAAAAAATAGTTTCCAGTGATAGTTTCGTTTGATTTCGAAAACATCCTTTCTATCGAGCGGAGTGGTTTTGCATAGAAATATCTACACTCTCATCCAAAGATAAAGCGCTTGAAAATTCGAATGCTAAGTTTTTTTTAGAAAAAACGTCCGACATCGTCTGGTTAGATTGAAAATATAGTTTTGATTTACGATATCAAACTTTCTACCATCAGAGCTCTCAATCGAACAAGTCAAATCTGAATATGAGAAGAGAATTAGAAGATGAAGATGACATATATCTCAGAATAGAAAACATCCAAACACGTGATACTTTCCAAATTATTAAATGTCATTGACATGGTGCGTGTGGATGTGGGAAACTATAGGGCATTGGGATTGCTTACTATGACTGACCAAATGAGCATAGTGTCTCGGTCAAAAAGCAATTTAGCACCGAGAGAACTTCTTTCGACACTTGTAAAGCGATCATCACGAAAATAACCACTCTGAATTGAAATTTCAATGGCATAACTACTATTGAATGTATTCTCCTTTTTGATCAGCTTTCGTGTAAAATCAATTACAGAATGTATAAATAGAACTCACTCGATCGATTCAGAAACTGGCTCTAAATGTATTGGGCTTATCGAACCCATTTCGACCAAATCTTTCTCTTTTGATTTTGTCGACGATTTGATTAAACATTTATGTCGTTGTTCAATAATCTCATTTTTCAATTTATCATAGGCCGATTTGAATTCAACTTCGGTAAAGTTCACATAGATCTTGCCACTGACAATGATACCGAGCCATCCATCAGGTTTATAATTAGTTTCTAGCATGATTGGAATTAGATGACATCCTCGTTCGAATGCATAATGCGCTTCCGATTGACAATAAACACTTTCTTTGTATCTATTCGACATACAGATGAGTACATATTCAGAATTTTCAATGGCATTTGCTATGCCGACCATTGTCGACCCACGTAAACAGTCTCTGTCAACCCAAACATTAAATCCATCTTTCACTAGTTTTTCATGAATTTGAAGACATAGTTCTTTATCTTTGTGGGAATAACTTATCATGATATCGTAATTGTAAGAAGTCGAAATAATCGGTTTAGCAACAGCTTCGTCTTCTCTTTCTAATTTCCAAAGAAGTCCTTCGGCAGCTCTTTGTAAGTCGAATTGATCTGAACTAGTATTTTCAGCGAGAATTCGACAATGATTCATGAAATTTTCATTCTGTTTTAGAAAAGAACAAGCGTCGTTGTGAAACGAGAGAGCGAGTAGAATTTCGAGAGCTATTTGTTTTACTTTAATTGGATCAAACCGAGTTTCTAAAACACATTTTACTAGTAAGGGAAGCGTTTCCTGTTTTATTAGCTCAGATTTAACTTGATCGTGTTGAACAAAATCTAAACAGAATTTGACAATGAATTCATAATCAAAAAGAATGCAGAAAAGTTACAATAGATAATAACTTACTTTTTAAGCTCTCCAACAGGCTATAAAATCGTTCCCTTTTCCCTGGATCATCCATAGTATTCGTAATAAACTCGATGTATACTGTTGCAATTTTACCTGGATTCGCCATAGTTTTAATGTCTACTTCAATCATTATTTTGCCCAAACACCGATAAGCATTCAATAGTATTTCATCGTGTTCAACATCAGTCATTTTCAAAAGCATAGGAATTAAGTTTGGAATAGTTTTCATAAAATTCAATACGTTTAAGTGCAATGTGAAATTATACAATGTGTGAACGATGGTTCGTGTAGCTGATTTAAAATTCAATCTATTAGACGCATGTGCCACGGTTGATGATAAAATTGATGACCAATGCAAAACCAACTTAGAGTAATCATGGTAAAATTCTTCACTAAAAATGCTTACATTATCTGGTTCGATTGGACGGACGAGAAAATAATTTAGATGGCGGATCATAGCACCAAACTGACAAGTGCATTGAAGATAAGAGTCTGGATGACAACTTGTCATCCATACAGTGAATTCATTTAGTAATATTCGTAAAATCTTGATTAAATTTTCAGGATCACGATAATCAGGATACCACTGTAAATACCATGGCATTATATGAAGAAATAGCAGTTGACCATCATCAAGTTTCTGAACAAAATTGTGCTCCAAACTTTTGATCATGTCAATAGCATACGAAGAGCATAAACATTGAACAACAGCAAAAAATATTGGTGCAATCAGAGAATAATCGTTCGCTATGATATGGTTTCTCAGAAAATTCTTAAATACTGTTAACAGGGAGCTGACCGAGCGGAGAAATGAAGGATCATTTAAATGTTTGCCATATGTACCAATCTCATTAAGACAATTTGCAAGTTCATCGATCAATGATTTATAAAGAAATAAATGTTTAAATTCTGCAATATTAGCATCGTTAATATTATAGCATAGGTTCATAAACAAGATTGAAACATCCAAAAAGACTTTTGGAGTAATAATATCTTCTGTTTGTTTTCGACGAAGCTGATCAATAATTACACTATCACGTAAGATGACAAAAAGCTCATGTGTGATCAGTTCAGACTCGGTAAGTTTCTTATGTCTGGATGGTAAACTGGTCAATGCGGAAATGATTTGTTCGGTCGACACATTCTTCACATCAGGGGTATCAGTATTTTTTAAAGCAGAAACAAAAACNATGTGAACATAAGTCTCGTCATAAGTGTCCCTTGCCACGCGATCTTCGATCAGCTGACCGAGTCGCAACGTTTGCTTCGAAGTGAGCAAAAGAGGTGAACAGGAGTCTTATGAGTAATGTTTCTGTTCACTGTGTGCTTTAATCAACTGAATGAGTTGCAACATCCCCTTCGAAGTGCGCACAAGATATGAACAGAAGTCTCGTCATGAATGTTTCTTTGTTACGCCATCTTCGATCGTCCGACCGAGTCGGAAAGTTTGCTTCAAAGTGAGAAAAACAAATCAATGGAAGTCTGATGAGTAACATTCCAGTGCAATGTGATCTTCTATTAGTGAAACCTATGGCAACATTAAGTTCGAAGTGAGCAAAAAAGGTGAACAGAAGTCTGGTAAGGAATGTTTCTTTGCCACGGAATCTTTGATCAGCTGACCGAGTCCCAATGTTTCCTTCGAAGTGAGCAAAAGAGATGAACAGGAGTCTTATGACTAATGTTTCTTTTCACTGTATTCTTTGATCAACTGACTGCGTCATCAAGTTTGCTTCGAAGTGAGCAAAAGAAATGAACAGAAACGTTATCAGTTATGTTTCCTTTCACTGTACTCTTCGATCAACTGACTAAGTCGCAACGTTTACTTCGAGATGTCCATAAGATATGAACAGAAGTCTCGTCATAAGTGTTCTTTGCCACGCGATTTTCGATCAGTTGACTGAGTCACAACATCTGCCTCGAAGTGAGAAAAAGAGCTGAACAGGAGTCTCATGAGTAATGTTTCTTTTCACTGTGTGCTTTAATCAACTGACTGAGTCGCTATATTTTCTTCGAAGTGCACACAGACTATGAACAGAAGTTTCGTTATGAATGTTTCTTTGTTACGCTATCTTGGATCGTCCGACCGAGTCGAGAAGTTTGCTTCACAGTGAGAAAAACAAGTCAACGGAAGTCTGATGAGTAACATTCCAGTGCCATGCGATCTTCTATTAGTTGACCCCATGGCAACATTAAGTTCGAAGTGATCAAAAAAGGTGAACAGAAGTCTGGTAAGGATTGTTTCTTTGCGACGGAATCTTCGATCAGCTGACCGGACCGGAATGTTTGCTTCGAAGTGAGCAAAAGAGATGAACAGGAGTCTTATGAGTAATGTTTCTTTTCACTGTGCTCTTGGATCAACTGACTGAGTCGCAATGTTTTCTTCGAATTGAGGAAAAGACATGAACAGAAGTGTTATGAGTAATGTTTGTTTTCACTATGTTCTTTGATCAACTGACTGAGTCGGAATGTTTGTCACGCACTGCGCACCAGGTATGAATAGAAGGCTCGTCATGAATGTTTCTTTGCCACGCGATCTTCTATCAGCTGGTCGAGTCGGCAAGTTTGCTTCAACATGAGCAAAAGAAGCCACCTGAAGTCTGATAAGTAACATTTCAGTGCCATGTGGTTTTCTATTTGTTGAGCGACTTGCAATATTTCGTTCAAAGTGAGCAGTAGAGATGAACAGGACTATTATGAGTAATGTTTCTTTTCACCGATCTCTTTGATCAGCTGACTGAGTCAGAATGTTTACTTCGAGTTGACCAACAGAGATGAACATAAGTGTTATGAGTGTTGTGTGTTTTCGCTGTGTTCTTGGATTAACTGGCTAAGTCACGATGTTTCTTTCGACGTGCGTAAAATATATGAATAGAAGGCTCGTCATGAGTATTTCTTTGCCATGCGATCTTCTATTAGCTGACCGAGTGGAGAAATTTGCTCCAACGTGAGCAAAAGAAGTCTACGAAAGTCTGATGAGGAACATTTCAGGGCCAAGTGATCTCTCATCAGTTTAAGTAATCGCAACATTTAGTTTGCAGTGATTAAAGTAAGGTGAATAGAAGTTTTTTTATGAATGTTCATTTGTGGTTTGATCTCCGATCAACTGACGAAATAGCAACGTTTGCTTCGGACTGAGTGAAAGAGATAAACAGAAGTATGATGAGTAGTATTTCTTTACACTGTGCTCTTCGATTAGCTGACTAAATGGCAACGTTGGTTTCGAGTTCAGGAAAAGAGATGAACAGAAGTTTCCTTATGAATGTTCCTTTTCCATGTTGTGTTTGATCAGCTAAGTGAATCGAGATGTCTACTTCGAACTGAGTAGAAGAGGTGAACAACAGTTTTTTTACTAATGTTCGATCGCCATGTAATCTTTGAGGAGCTGACTGAGCCGCAAGATTAGCTTTGTATTGAGCAAACGAGATGATGAGAAGTCTTTTGAGAAATGCTCTGTCACCATGTGATGTTTGATCACCTGATCGACTCGCAAAGTTTGCTTCAAAGTCATCAAAAAGGGTAAACCAAAGTTTGATCAGTAACGTTCGTTTACCATGTGACCCTCAGGCAGATGACTGAATCGCAATGTTTGCTTCAAAGTGAGCGAAGAAGGTGAACGGAAGTCTGATGAGTAATGTTTCTTTGCCATGTTGTCATCGATCAGCTGATCAAGTTGAAGTGGTTACTTCGGAGAGAGGAAGAAAAATGAGTAGAAGTATTTTCACAAATGTTCCATTGTCACATGACGTTCGATCGGTGGAGCGAGCTGCAACGTATGCTTGAAAATGAGAAACAGAGGTGAACAAAAGTCTCTTCGGGATGGTTCCTTTGCCATATGAGCTTTCACTAGCTGAGCACGTCACAATGTTTATTTTGATGAGTGGAAAAGAGGTGGACAGATTTTTGATGTGTAATGTTTCTTTGCCATGTGACCTTCGATCAGCTGATCGAGGTGCAAGGTTTGCTTGGAAATGGGCAAAAGTCGCGTTGCAATTTATCATGTTTGTTTGTGCGAAGTGCGCTAAAAGAATTTTATTTCGGAGTGGAAGTTTTTTGTGATTGAATTTTTTATTGTGCGAGTTGCGTGTTACTTAAAATAAATTTACAACCGGAAGAAATACTAGATAACGCACAAAGGGGGCTATGATTGAGTTCGGCTGTTGGGCTAGGTTTGGTCTTTTAACTTACTTTGCTCGTTGGGCTTCCTTTGGTTTGTTCGACTTACTCTTGTCGTTTAAGTAACTGTGGGCATCATGGTGATTCGTCGCGAAGTAATTGTGAGTATCTTTGAAATTTTCGAAGTGTAGATATGGCTAGTGTACGTTGTGTATTAGTTAAACAATAGTTTACAAGTAAATAAATACGCGACTAAAATAAAATAAAAATATTGTTTTAAATCTTGGGACATTAAGTGCTAATATATAATATATGATTGGAGATAAAAATACGCTAAAGGGTGGGTGTGTTATGTGGGTATCAACGTGATGTGGGCATGAGTGTGTGGGTTTATGGATGTGGGTGTGGTTGTGTGGGTCTCCAGATGTGGATGGGGTTGTATGTTTGAGTGTGGGTTTTGCTATTGGTGTAGATGTGGATATACGCTGGAAGAAGCAAAGGCCCACACATACACACATTCGCACGGGTTCCCAAACTCACTCTGACACTCACACCCACTACCTCACATGTGGACTCTTTTACATTTGCATCCAAATTGACTAAAAAAGGCATGGCAGAATGATTCGTATTATCCATATTTAGTTAGTTTAGAATTCAGAAAAGCGGAATGGCATTGTTGTGGGAATGCACTCCTTAAAGGAAACTTTCGAATGATATTTGGATATCACAGGAGAAATATGAACCATCGCGCAACTGTAGAAGTATATTCGTCATTCGTTTCTAGAAAAGAAGTTCGACAAACCTAGCGAAGGTATTTCATTGAGTCGCGTAAAATGATGCTGTTGTTATTTGAAAGCCAAACACTAACAGCATTCAGTCTCACAATGAATGGAGCAGCAAACAATATTGAATCACAATAAATGTTTGTATTTCAATAGTTTCGTGCAATAAAAATGTTAAGCAACTGACTTTTATCTTCAGTCATTTGTGTTTACTTTTTCTTCCGATCGAACGTTGACGCAAAAGAAATGAAAGTTTCAAGTGCGATGAAATTCGTTTCTGAGCAAGCAAAAAATAATTAAGAAAAACAGGGTGTGGGTGGGTGGGTGTGGGTGGGGGGTGCGGGTGCGAGTTTGGGTGTGACTGTGTGCGAGTGTGGGTAAGTGGGTGGTTGGATGGATGCGAGTACGTTAAGAGACGATCTATAAAAAACCACATCCACATCCACATCCCACCTTCACCCACACCCACACCCACACCTACACCTACACCTACACCCACACCTACACCCACACCCTGGGGTTCTATTATGTTTGGAAAATCATAAGTTTGAGGGTGGACTTCTATTGCGATCCAGTTTTTCGCCACGTACAGTAAAATTTGAATTGTTGTTTTCAATTAAAATCACATCAAGATTATAATAAATGTATTAAAATTTCTATGCAACTGTATATACGTAGTGGTGTTTCGATTGACAGAACTTGGGGAGAGAGTCAACTAGTGTTTCAAAAAATTTCTTAGAAATTTTCAAAGAACTTCTCGAGAAGTTTTTAAAAATTTCTTAAGATCCCCCCCTCAAAAAATTCATTTTTCCTCAGAATCGCTGAGAATGAGACAAATATATAGGAAGGTAGCCTGTCATTTGCTCTTCCGTAAATGATAAAAATTTGTCTTCGGTACCTCCTTTTTTCCGAAAAATTTTCAAGACTTTTGACAACCCCTATTCGAAAAACCAGCAATTTTAACAAAAATCCAAAATTTGTTTTCTTTTTTTCTCAAAGTTGTAGTCGAACGACGCATCTCCACCAAAAGACAACTATAATGCCATCTTATAGTCAGATATTTTTTTTATTTGAAAGAGCATCAAAAACTGCAGTACCTATGAGACCTCTTTTTTGATAAAGCTTTGCTATTTGTACATTGATAAATAATTTTATTATACGAGCGCCATTTTTTGAAGGGTTTTTGAGTGATTGAATTTGTGAAGCCTTTTATTCTTCATAAAGATAAGAATTTTGAAAAAGGGCCCTCATAGGCACTACATCCTGACATGCTCTTCCATATGAAAAAAACAATCAACTATATTTATTGAACATCCATAGAGAATTTTCGGAGACGCGATAAGCTATTTTTCGACCCTTGTTTGGTTCGAATCTACCTCAGACATCAGGACAGGAAGCTGAAACTTTTATCACAGACATACTTTTACACCCTTAACATATCTTCAAAGTCTCATGCTATTTCAATGTGTTGGAGCTGAGATCGAAATTTGAGGGAGGCGGGCTTAACAATGTTTGTAAATCGTTAAGCGAAAAAACGAAATTTTTGAAGATTGGGATGACCTAGGGCTACATCAATTTCTACTCTTGAAATGAGTCGAAATTAATGTGAAATTGGGATTGCTTTGAAAGATTTCTGTCTAGTATAAACACTCGTACGGTTCTCTAGGCGATACTATTACATCCGGAAAATTATAGCGATGAGACTGGGCTTCTATTATGGAGTGGGCTTCTATTCTGTGGGGGTGGGGGTTTAAGGACAAAAAGACAAGGACAATACATAATACAAGAAGAAATAGAAAGAAAACGTGAAGCATCATGCATACACAATGCACTTAAGCGGAAGCGTTACATTCTCTTTCCTATCATGGTATACTTTTTTTTAGAACTAACAATTTACAAAAACTCAATCAGATAACCTTCGGTATTTTTTTTTCGATGGGCATAGAGATAAAATGGATAGATAGATATGAAACTCGACTTGTAAGATTGGCTGAGTTACTTGATGAAATACCACTATCTGAAATGTATATCTGTTCTTATCTTTTTTCATCTATCGTTTTCATTTTTCTTTTCTTCTCTATATGGGTTAAAAGTGCTATATTCTAAGCTTTTGTCATAATGATGATTTTTTACAGGTATGTTGCTCTGCATTGTTCTCTTTCTATTAATGATTCTTTGAAAATTTATCATTACTAGTACTTTCACTAATCTTCACTGAACATTTTATTCATGTTCATGAAGTGACAGTATTAAAGATTATCAGAAAAAAAGTCTGGTCACTAAAGTTTTCGGGGATTCATCTAAATTATTTATTTCGCAACAAAGGATTTAGGCGGGGAATTGTTTCCAGTAATGGATTGAGGAGTTTCTGAGGAGTGATGTAAATTTAAACTTTCTACAGAAAATGAGTAGAAAAAGAAACGTGAACCAAAATCAAAAGAGAAGCGAGTGTAACAGTATACTCGGCGTCTTTTCTCTGGATCTACCATTGATCTTCTCTATAACCACCTTCCTCATTTATATGTGACAAAAAAAGCGATGTTTTACAAGAATGCAGCTTTGATATGGTCTTAATAGGGTTTGTTAGTTGTTTTAACTCTTTTCATGTTTAAATAGGAGAGTTTCAATCATAAATTCTATATTATGATCAAGACAGCTGAGTTTCAAATTTCGATTTGAAACTGTAAACGGAGATAGATTTTAACGAGAATAATTTATTTTGAAAGTTTCAGATCATTTTGTTTTTCTTGTCCTAAGATTCATGTATAATAAAACTGGGTTTTAAACTTTGCTGATTTACGCTGGTGGATCCTAATGTTCTTTTATTAAAATAGAAGCAGTCAGGAAAAGTTGAGATTTTCACAGTAAACTATTCTCGTTAAGACCTATCCAAAGCTAAGTGAGTCAAGTGATTTTTGTTTTCTTTTTATGTTTATTAAGAATATCAAATCGCAAGTCTATTTATCACTCGAAATCTAGTTTCTCGTGTGTATGTTCAAAAATATGAATAGATTACACATAAAATAAAATGTGACAATTATACCAAACTAATGAACAAAATTTTAATAGTGAAATTAATTATTCTTTTTCATACAGCGTCACATCACTGTGGCAAATCTGATTTCTTACTAAACAAAAATACATAACCTTAAGTCTACTTCGAATTAAACATTATTTATTACGATTAAAAGCAAATACTATTGTATTTGTAGAATATTAGTTTCTGAAAAAACTTGAAGCAGTCGATCTAATGGAATTCTACTGAGAGAAAAAAATCATTCGTCTGATTTTATTGTTTGATATTATTATTATTTTTTCAAAATAAAGGACTGAGTGTGGATGAAAGAAGATCCCGTACTTCTGCGTATACTCGTTGCTGAGAGGTAAATAATATGATGATGAATAAGAGAAAAATTTGATGATCAAAATACGTTCACTCGACAATTATATTATAGTGTGATAAAGAACATGATGCACGACATTAGTAAAGTCTTCATTTATTTCATGACACACATGTATACAGTATCAAAAAATCAGTAGAAATTAAAGAAAAGTGGAAAAAAACATACATAATTGATGCTACACGAAAGCTATCATTCATAAGCACATGAATACGTAGATCGAAAGAAAAACCTTGAGAAAATTGTTTAAATACACTTTGTTCAGTCACAAGAGAAATTATAAGTAACGAAAAATTTTACTCTGTAAATTATGATTTCTTCATATGAGACCCAATGAAAAATCTTCCTGCGTAAATGACTCACCTCAGACTTGTTTGTGTGCAAGTTTTTAAGTGGAAATTCTAAAATCAGTTTTCTTGGTGTTGTTGACAGGTCAACAAATTTTACTTAAAAAAAATACCATAAACATACAACGCCTTAGCAAGAATAAACTAATAGTCCACACTTTTCCACGATATTTATAGCACATTAGGATCTACATGATGCATCTAGTTTTGACTCAAACGTGATTTGACGCTAAAATATGTTCCCTCGTTGGTGAAGTAGACATATTTTCATTTTTCAAGCCACTTTCTTTATGTATCATATTTTACATTTCTGGTACACATTTTTTAAACGACTTGAACAGTAATTTGAAGAGTACCATTTCTGATGAAAACATACTCAAAAAAGAAAACTAACATGTTAAGTGATTATTCATTAGTTTGGTCTTCTTATATTTTGTTTTATTTTTCTTTTAAACTAGTTTCTTGTGTTTACATCCAAAAGATCGTTTTTACAATTTCAATTCAAGTCAAGAATTCTTAAAAACTGATCTTCAGATGCCTATTGGCTTTTATTCCACTTGAAATCTAGATGAGAATGAATTAGATCAAGAAGATCAAGAAAGAAAGGTTAGGCATGGTGATATTTATATCTACAATCTGATGCTTTTATTAATATTACCTTCTTTATCATCGATGGCAACAAAAGTACTGGTAGCTCTCGGTGACATCGGCATCGTGTAAATTACCTATGAAACGACTGTTAGGACTGGTTCTTCTTTATAATCAATGTAGTCAGCCTGTAGTTCCATTGCCCGTAGCTTTTGTTTCAATCTATGCTTTTATACTAGATATTTTCATAGAATATTAGACTATAAAGACGGTGATAGTACTCTGATTCTCGTTGACATAGATTATACTTTGTTGAAATAAATATTCACATTTATATTTTATAATACAGACATTATCGTTAGGAACAAAGGAGAAAAGATTCATTATATTAATTAGAAATCTAAAATTGTTGAAATCATTTCCATAGATTCTCTGTAGCTGTAAAGTTTATATTTTATCATGTGTGATAATCATTTAATTACATTGACAATAAATCAAAATTGAATTGAAATAAAACTATTAATGTAACGGAAGACTTTTGATTCTCTTAAAGATTTAGGGCATGAATAGGTATGGAAAGAATAATACATACCCTTGGACTCACATCCTCACCGCACACCCATTCCCACACCCTATCCTCATCCCTTCAAATTTGACACTACTGTGGTAAATATAATTTGGTTATCTCTAATTCATAGCCTTTCTAGGTATTATAAATGAGTTGATTCAAAGTTAAGAGAGTGAAAGAAAATGTTTTAAAAGAAGCATATATAGATGAAGCATCTGTCAACTGTCAGTGTGTTTCCATTTTTTTCAATTACTTTTTCAGTCTTTCAAATGCTGATGCGGATGCATATGCTGCTCATCTTGCATGTTTCTTAGCATCCTGTACCATTCTGACCCCTTGATCACCTTGCTTTCTTATTTCTTTGGCTTCTGCCAGAATTCTTTCACTTTTTTGCTGCTGAATATCAATTTGTTCTTTTGCTACCTTTAGAGAATCCTTTGCTGACGATGCACTCTCTCGAGCAGCTTGTGCCGCGTCATTAGCTTTTTTAGCAGACTGTTCGACCCATTGTTTTGCATATTCCATGTCATTGTGAACTTTGGCGCTTACTTCTAAAATATTTTTTTCACAGTATTGTGTCTGATGGAGAATCACTCGTTGTACGTCATTTTCACATTTTTCTGCGGTTTCTTGAAGTTTTTGTTGTTGTTGTTCCGTTAATTCGATTTGTTTTTTAGCATGTTCTATTGCTTGTGTCGCTCGTTTCACCGACATTTCGCCATACTGAACGGCTTGGTTTGCTTGCTCAAGAGCTTGACTCGATTCAGCTTTTGCAGCTTGAACAATTAACATCATCTTCTCGTATTTGTCTTGCATTTGTTTTTCAATTTCTTCCATGCGTTGTTCGATGTACGTTTTTAAATGTGTTTGGACACCATTTAATTGTTCATTTAATTTTTTTGACTTTTCTTTATACCTATTTTCATTATCCTTTTTCAACATTTCCCGAGATTGTTCTGATTCATATATCACCTGTTCATGGATAGCATCGATCGACGTTTGATAACGATCCGTTGTCTGTTGAATGTCCTCTCGCAAAATATCGATACTACATTCCATATCATATCGCGCATCTTCCAATTCACTTTTCACAATCATTGGATCGACAAATAATTTTTCTTCACGCAACACTTCTGCTATTTGAAGAGCTTTTTCTCTTGTAACTGCTGATTGAGTGATACTATTACTATCCTGATGTGTTGCAAGGACTTGTAAAATATCATCGAAGTTTGTTAGAATGTCTCCATATTCATTCTTTAGTGCCGGAACCACTTGTCGAGATTCGATAATCGATTGAAGTACATTGTTGTCGTTCGAAAACGGTGCAACATAAACATAGCCAAATATCTTCAAATCCTTCATATAAGGAATTGATTCATTTTTTTTCTCTACTTTATATTGATAAACGTCACCATCATTGCCAAGAACCGAGACACATCCAATAAAGTGTCGTAGCTGGACAGCTATGTCTTCATTCTTGTCCGCTGTTCTTTTTACTGGTATCATCAGACGACCGACCGAAGCCCCAACAACATCACTGATTGCTTTTCCTTTTCCTTGATCAACGGGATTCTTCTTGGCCACCAGAAGCCAGAGTTGTTGAGCTAATGGCTCCGTGCGATTGGGTTTACCCGATTTCAAACCATCGATCATCCATGCGACTACATACTCTGCAACAATGATCACTGGTATTTCTTCAGGTTTTTCCGGACGTACGGCAATAAAAACATCTTTTATCCACTGGATTTTATCATTGAAGACATTACTACCTTCTATTTTTCGAAATGTGTCAATAGATTGAATTTGTTCTTTGTAATATAGTGTAACCAAGCCGGCTGCCTCAGAAGCAGCACGTCTCAATTCTTCAACACTGCCATATGTCAAAATATTGTATCTTTCCAGTTTTTGTTTTTTTTCATCAAGTTTCGACAAAATACCGGAGAGTATAGCTTTGGTTGGTTTTATAATAATTTGCGCTAGAATAAATACACAGAAGAATATAGAAAGCCTAGGACTTGTTAAAACATTGAATAATATTTTTTCGTTGTGCAGTGAATGATGAAATTATACATATGAGTGATAAAACTTTCATTCTCACATATTTGATTGTACATGTTCAGAATTCGTTGTCATTTTTTGAATGAAAAGTTAGTAGAGGATATAGTATATGAATGTATGTATCCGAGGAAAAATAATTTTAACTAGTTTTGTAAAGATATTTTCTTCATAAAGATGTACTTTTACGAAAATAATCTGATATTCTGAAAGCAGTTTGAATTCTCTATCATTTTACATAAGACTTTGATTTTTACGAGAACTGTTAGGTTAATGAGATGTCTTTCAACAACCTTTATGTCAGATCGTAAGATTATTTTTTTAACTACCGAATGTGCACAGAGTAGGTTAAAATCTGTAATTGAGTACGATCAACATTTAACTCTGCCGACTAAACAAAGTCCAGTATACTGATTGATGACAATAATAATTGTAATTGATTGTAAAGAGCTACTCCATGAATCATGATTTAGAAAGAACATAACGATACTAGCGCTTTCTTTTTTGATAGTTTTCGTATAATCAAATATTTTGTATGCCTTGGACCATATTGTCAATGAATATACAGAGCAACAATACTTACAAAGTGGTATGAGTGCGTCTGGAACAGCATTGACCACGACACGTGCCTTACCATATCCTGTCGTCTTTTCTGATACTAATAGTCCGCTTTGGGCTGCTAAAACCCCGGTAAATAGTGTTTGCAAATGGTTATCAACTGTTCGATAGAATAAGTATAGAGTGTCATCCTTTTTGATGAACTTAAGTATATTTCGTTGATTGAACATGGCTTCTTGTTCACGTTGATACAAGAACATTGAACATTCATAATTAGCCAATTGTTTCTCTAAAGTCTCTCGATTTTTAAAAATATCTTTCAGTTGACGAGCAGGAAGACTACGTTGTTTAAGCTGTTCATTAGCTTCTTCAATCTGTTTCATTAGAGCTATTTTGTCATCAGTTAACTTGTTCAAATTATTGGTTATTTTTTCTAATTTCTGCTCAATACTCGCCATATCTTGTTGAATCAAAGTATGGATATCTTTTTCACTCTGCACATGTTGAAGTTCACTGGAACGTTTTCTTATATTAGAAGTTAAATCGGAAAACAAATCTTTGTATGTATTTGGATCGTCAGGATCGAGTGGAACGGCACTTTCGGCAATGATTTCACCGAGTCCCCGCAGCAATCCGAGCAAGATTTGTTCGTACCGTTTTTCTAAGTTCAGACCACTCATGGTTCCTGCTTTTGATGGAATACTTTTCCCCAATTCTTTATAATGTGGCTCTAGAATGCCAACAATTTCTTCTTGTTTGTATTGTTTAGCAACTTCGATTAGGTCGTGGCACAATTTTTTCTTCTCTTCTTTCGATTCATAATTTTCTTCGCAAAATTCTTTAATTATTTTCACACGGCCATTTTGTGATGCTTCTATGAGAGTTTTTTCATCGTATGTCAGTACATTGGAGCTATGCGATTTGATAGGTTCCTCTGACACTGTCGATTCAGATAGTAATAACTGAGAAATACGTTTAAAGCCGAGCTGTTGAGCAATTTGCAGAGCAATTGCACCAGCTTTATTTGTTTGGCTTTTTGTAGCCGGAAATTTTTTTGCAAACAGTTCAACAACAGCAAAATCGCCTACAATACACTCAAACATCAAAATCATTCTTCTTCTTATGACTTTTCGAATCTAAGAAATAATACAGGGTAGCATTTATAATCTATTGTATTTTCAATAAAACTCTATACGGATGTGCCATTAAAAGGTCTTAGCAAGTATTCGAATCACTTTGGTAATCTGTTTGAAATGAATTCATATTCTTGCTTGTGAAAGAGACAAAATATGGTGTGCATAATTATACATAGTCAATCATAGCTATTTCATTTTTCAATGAAATTCAAATAACAACTGAGCAATCTATTCAATGCCTCTTATCTTTAGATGGTAATTTTAAATTCGATTTCTACATTATGTGAAATTTTAGGTCGAATGAAAAAAAGATAACATTTCTAATATGATGATATAAGATCTTGACAAATTAGAGATATACTGCTGTAGTACAACTCTGCACTGTTCTTCTAAAAAATTAACATCAATTATATTTGTCTTCTAAGAGAAAAATTATATGTATAATCATTTTCGAGTACTCGAAACAAACATTCTTCTACTAACAAGATTCCGATGAAATTTTATTGTAAAGCTATTGGTAAGTTTGTCTCTTACCATTCATTCTCACAAAATAACAAGTCATCTATTCTTAAAAAGTTTTTTAAGTTCTATCAAATCATAGAAAAACAGTCAAAAAAAGATTTCACTATTATTCGATTTTCTTACTATTTTTAAGTAAGTTCAACTTTGAGAAATGCATATAAGTATATACTTCTACACTTGTTTATGAACAGAGTAAATAACATACCTTTTTCGACTGCTAATGTAATCGGAAAATCGCCATTAATATCAGCCGTGGTAGGAGTGCTACCACGATCGCATAACCATTGAACAAGGTCGATACCATGATATTGTATCGCATAATGCAACGGCGTACGTTTTTGTTCATCTTGATAATTAAAATCGGCGCGAAGAGATGCGAATGCAGTGGCACTTTGTGTATTATTATCGAGAATTGCAGTCATAAATTGATTATTGACTTCCTCACGTAAATAATTAACAATATGCTCATAGTTACGGTTTTTAGCAAGTTCTATCAGAGAGATTGACTCATTAGGATTTGAGTGTAAAATTGTGGCTCCACAAGAGACAAGTGTATATACAATTCGAAAGTAATTTCCATGTTGAATCGTACATAAGAGTGCAGTTGAACCATGACAATTTTTCGAATTGATGTCCGCGGCCAAGCGCTGACATTGAATGACTGTCTGCAGTTCTCCAGAAGCACCAGCCCAACGAAGTCGACGATTGATCAAACAACGGTTAATACAAAATACAATTTTAGGATCCATTTTTTCTGAAACTGTTATCGGAAGAACAATAGTTCTTGATGCAAGCCATTCTTCGGACATTTTGATTCCATTTTCACATAGAAATTCGATAAGTGCAAGATTCTGATGTTTGAGTGCTTCACTTAGATTATTTGTGTCAATCATATCGACACTAGCTCCTGCACGAACAAGCTGTTTAACATAGGCAAGTTTGTTGTTTTTTATGGCTTCTGTACATTCCTTTGATAATAGATATTTTAAATAGTTGGCAACTTTATGAAAATTTTTCTTTTTGGCAACATAATATGGCGAATCGGAAGTTGTGTACTCGAACGTCATTCTAAAAAAATCAGCACCTTGATTAATAAGATAATGGACTATTTCAATATTATTCGAACTGCTGCAAGCTAAATTCACCAAATCAGGCGTAACAGAAGCCCCGGCAAGATGATAGGCTAAAAATCGACCCGAATGAGATTGTTGTATTGATTCAATTAATTTTACAGTTGCAACTCGAGATAATTCATCCATTATTTGTTGACAGCCATTCATCACGGTTTGAAGGCGTTGACGATCATCAAATTTTATTGAAGATGATGCTAACTTTTGATGAGATTCATTTGCTGACATTTTTGCTACCTCATAGGCAGTACGGTTGTGTTTTCGACATCGAATATCAGCACCATTACCAATAACTTTTTTCATCAATTCAATATCTCCCTTTTTAGCAGCATAATGTAAATGTTCATTGGGTGTTCTATTAAAAATACTTTTGCGTGTGTCACCTAGATGATCATAATCACTGGCATCGGTTATCTGTATTTGATCGACGAAAACTTGGGTTACTAGTTCACATGTATCAAGATCATGAGTTGGTTTAGTTGAGCAAAGTCGATCTTGACTTCTCTGATCATCTATTGGACAAATCAAACGTTGAAAAAACGAAACAAGTTTCCTATCATTTGTTTCCTCTTCTTTGGTTTTGGCTACATTTGTTCGAGCAATATCGAGTGGTGTTTCTCTTGATGAATTTTGAGCTTGATAATCGGCACCCCACAAAACTAAATAGCGAACAACTAGTAGATGATGATTTTTCGTTGCCAAATGTAGAGGTGTTTCTTTGTTTCTATTGGAAACATTCAATTTTATGTTTATCAAGCCTCTTAAATACTCAACTATTGATAGTTGACCATATTCGGCTGCAGTTGAGATTGGGTAATCTCCATTCATATTCGGTATTGTATAATTAGCCTTCAAAGGCTGAATTAGATTTTCGACAAATCTTCTCGTTGCTATTTTACATGCCAAATGTAATACGGTCCATTCTTTATAGTCGTCTGTCGAATGTTTATGATCAATAAGGGCACCATATTGAATGAGTTTTGCTGCTTCAGTTAGAATGCTTTCATTATGATTGTCGTCAGTATTTGTACGTGAAATACAGTTCCACAATCGAACATTCAATTCGTGTTGAATCATGTTTGCAGCTTCGGGACGATTTTGTTCGATCGAAAATTTCAGAATAGACTTATTCAATGTCGAGTTAAAAAATGTATCTGTTTGCATTTTAGGCAATTTTAAAATGGTGGAAATAAGAGCAAATGGATTTTTATCATGTAAAATACACATTTCAATAGGTCGATATCCATTAATATTCGTCATAGTAATATCGGCATGAAATTTGTTAACAAAAGCAGTTAACACTTCAGATGTACCTTGATTAATTATTAATAGATGAAGAAGAGTATTTTTATTAGGAAAAAGGGAATTGATATTAGCTCCCTTTTCTAGCAATGTGTGAATTTCTTCAAGTCTTAAATTCGATTTTTTCTTTTCAATTAATCGTTTCAATGCAGTATTGAGACTTTGTTCGGCTAGCATCGTCACTAATCGAGGATTTGTTGGTGTAGCATTTTGAGCAATTTGAAGGGATGTAAGTTGATCATGGTTTTTCCATGCAGTATCGCAACCAGATTCAATAAGTGCCCGTACAAGTTCTAAATTATTGGCAAGAACAGCATTCGAAAGAACAGTATTTCCGCGTTCGTCAGTAGCTTTTATGTCAGCACCTCGACGAATCCATTCTATGACTTCATTAACATCGATTACAGATGTTGAGAATGGGACTTGATTCAATAAAATGTTGAAGTGCTGTTGTAAACAATCAACTACAGCATCTGAACAATTCGGATTATTTTTGGCTAAAGATAAACATGTTCGTTGTTGAGTATCTGCTTTTGTCAAACAAAGTCTGATATACTGATCATTATTGAGAAGAAATTTGACCACATCATATCGAATAGGAACTCTATCTTGTTTCAGCATTTCGCCCAATAAGCCAAGTGGTTCGTACTGTTCTTGATAGCAGTTTCCACCTAATCTAATTAGTAATTCTATCACACGAAGATCCCCGCCGTTTGGGGTCAACACAGATTCTCTGAGCAGATCAGATGCACGAGATTTTAAAACTTTAGCTAAATGTTGGCAGTTTTGAGCTTTTATCGACTTCACTAGATGATTGCGGTTTTCTTCTGCGATAACCGAATCAATCATATAACCATTTTTGGTACGTGCCAAAATATCTGCTCCTTGAGCAATCAAGTTTTGAGCTTCCATGTAAGAATTGGCGTCTCCTGCATGTCCTTCAACTAGTCTGATCAGTCTTTTTGTCGATGCTGACATATTCCAAGGTTACCGTAGACGGTGTTGACCAGTCACACTAAATAACACTGGAGTAAAACCTCTAGTAAAGATATCAGTGATCGTTTTTTCTTAAGGTTGCTTTAATACTGCAGTTACGTGATTCTTTGATTTATTGGTAATAATATGTCAAAATGACTTTATTTCTTGATCCTTACTATTCGATATTGCCTGCTTATACAAAACTCTCGCTGGTTATTGGCTTATAAAGCGATAGAATTTTAACAAAATCCTCAGCAGTACGTGTGGATGGGAGTGAAATGAGTATAAGTGTGAGAGTGGGCCTTGTTCTCGTTCACACAAGCTGCTTGGAACTTAGGTGTTAGAGAATAGGCATGAAGTAGTCAAATACAGTAATATTTAAGCACATAATAATCGATTTAAGTTCCATGTAGCTGAAAAGCAGTTGGATTTCACTATTTTAAGTGCTTATACACTGGTGTCTACAGGTGTCGAGTTTCACAGTTCCATAGGATTCTGTTCTATGGGAACGAGATCCACTCGAAGATTCGTTTTCGTGCGTTTCTGATCATATTGGAACTTATGGACGCGCATATTCTTTCAATCTGTATCGATTCGGTATGGATTCCCATGCTTCCAAGAACGGAACCAGAAACTGACATCTCTACTGTTGTCCCATGCATAGGTTGGGTATGGGTGTTGGTATCGTCGTAGGTGTTCATGCAGAGGGATCTCACGAACACGCTCACCCTCTTTCTACCTTTTCTTAAGACTTCTTTGTTAGAGGGGCTCACTGGCCACATACACTATAACTTTTAAAGGAAAGCTTAAGCATGCACGTTAAACTCCTTACTAAATCTCCAAGACCTCAGTGTCTCGATACTTCGGAAAGTTTTTTTCAGGGAATCACGATGAATTCATTATAGAAGCATTGATTCTGGAATGCACCTATCGTAGTCACATGTCACTCACTTGTTTTTCTGACTTTTTTTGTCTGAATGTACTTTTTGTCTCGTCTGATTCTCACAATGGAGGTGTTTGTGTTGTCAGTTGAATTGGCTAGACATATTCGGGTCAAATGAAAGCTCTCACCGCCAAACTAACATGGTTAAAATATTAGCGGCTGTTGGCTTGTCTAGAGAGAGATATTCGAATTTTAAGGTAGTTACAGTATATGTAAGATATCCACAATTGAACATTTCGGCCGCATTAATGTTTCGTTTTTTGTAATGGTTGGNAACCCCATTTTTCACGGGCTTTCATTTGGTATAAAATTCATGATATCTCCGATTCGAGATCATACTGTTACCCCCCTGGAATAATATTATTTACCACCCTGTAAAGAGAGGAGAACTCAACATAACAGAATGTTCATCATAAAAGAATACTTGTGATTTCGACCAAGATGTTGCATCCGGATCTACAACTAATACAGCAATTGTTGTATCATCTGCCCAGTCTACGACACGACCAAAGGAAGAAGCATCAGGATAGGATAATGTATATTTATGAGTAACATTTAATGATGATCCTAGTTTTTCAAGAACGACAACCGTCGAAAGCCGATGCAGTCCAACAAGAACTTTCTCACCACGGATAGAAACTGATAATTCATAAAGTTCATTATATGAGACAACATTCGATGGTACTAAATATGTCGTTTCAGAAGTGAAATTCGTACAAGATGCATTTATTATGGTCGAAAGATTAATCAAACATCCAAGTGCTGCATAATTTTTTTTCGTATCATTCAAGTATCCATAACAAGCAACTACTGCCCATGTGTTAGCTACATCGATAGCATGCGGAATAAAGCCTGATAATGGCCAAACAGAATTCGTCGTCACATTTATAGTAATATTATTAGCATAAATATCTAATTTAAATACAAATGAACTCGCAAAGCCATAAGCAAAAGTACCATTATTATCGACAGCAATAAGAAAATATTCTTGATGAAATCCTCCTGTACCCATATCTGTACATTGAACTGTGGAGTTGCATGTTGATTTTGTTATATAACCAATACAGAAGTACGGAGTCATTGTCAACATTTTCTCCGCAGCAAAAACAAATATAAACTGTTCAGCATCAGTACTATTTTTAGCAATACCTACTACAGCCACACTATGAACATAACGATCAGGTGTATTGTATCTCATGTTACATCGTATAGGTCCTCCGGCACTCGTATTTCTGAATGGATGCATGGTAACAACAAAGTTGGCAAAAGAGTTTGCTGCCGATACAAACATATCATCATTGACAGACATTTTTGTACCTCGAACCACATTGTTTAAATCATATTGACACCATGAAATATGACAAGAAATAGTAAGAAGAAATAAAAAGCAAATGAACATTTCAACCGTTAAGTACTTGCGATGTATTTTATTCTAAAAAGAATAATATATTTCATAAACATTTGTATTGACAGACAAACAATGGAAATTTGTTCTGTTTTAAATGAACTTGAAATTTTGATGTTCTGGCATAGAAATTCTCTAAAATGTGTTTATTGTATCTTTCCAATCAATTTTTTAGGAAACACGATGACTTACATACAAGGAGTAAGGTGGATAATAGTCTTTCCTGATCCAAATCATTGCCGGCTTTGTTGCATTGGAACTATATCAGGAGATACTCAGCATAGTTCCCAGACACTTACTTTCGCGAAATCACTCAGTCAGATTTTTTAGGTCTGAGGTTTCCCACCGAATTACAGAAAAAGTTTTTATTTTTTATTTTTCCCAAACTCACCTGATAATATGTAATCGACTACGCTGATCATTAATATCGATATCATTCTATTTACTTCCATTTATTTTGCTCTCAGCAAAAAGGATTATTTCGCTGCCCTCCTAGCGGAGGAAACACCGAAAAACCACAACATATAGTGATTCGGATGACGAATTTTACACTGAAGTCGAATATATAATCAGATAAGTTATTCAAGTTGAAGCTTGTATGAAGATTGGAAAAAACTGGCTAAAATCGTAGTTTTTGACAGTATTCGTCATAAATGACTTAGACGGAGACCCCGATAGACACGCGGTCACATCGTCAAATGTTCATTAAACAGGTAATGTTTGGTGCTCTATTCGATGGTGCCAACGAAGAACCGAAAAAAGTTGTGGAACACGTTTTTTGGAGGATCTACAGTAAGCCTTTTCAAGATTTCTCGCAGTTTTAAAGCAACTAACATCACGATGATGTTCAGCGTTGTCGAAAAGTGATTTTCATGTGCTTTTCATTAGTTTCCCTATTAATATTTGACCGGAAAAAAAAACTTCGACTTGCGTGAGACAACCTCAGGCTGATTCACATGTAGAGTTAGTCAAGTCTTACTAACCAAACATCAATATGAAAAGCAACGAACAGCACATGGAAACAGGTTTTCCACAACACCGAACATCATGGTGGTGTTAGTTGCTTTAAAAATCACAAAAGATTTTAGAAAGATTTTCTGGGGTCCTCTAAAAAATTTGTTCCACAACTTTTTTCGGTTCTTCGTTGGCACTATCGAATAGAGCGTGAAAAATTACCCATTCAAGAAAAATATGACGATGTGGCTGAGTGTCTATCTGGGTCTCAGTCTGGGTCATTTAGGGCAAATGCCGTCAAAAACTACGGTTTTAGCCAGCTTTTGCCAACGTTCACATAAGCTTTAACTTGACTAGCTTTTCTGATTATATATTCGGATTCAGCGTAAAATTCTACATCCAAATCACTATATGTTGTAGTTTTTCGGTGCTTCCTCTGTTAGGAGGGCAGCGCAATAGCCATTTTGTAGAGAGCAAAATAAATGCAGGCAAATAGAATGATATCGATATTCGTGATCAGCGTAGTCGATCACATATTATCAGGTGAGTTTGGAAAAAATAAAAAATAAAAAGTTTTTCTGAAATCCTGAGGGAAACCGCGAACCCAAAAAAAACCTGACTGAGCAATTTCGCGAGAGCAAGTGTCAGAGAACTATGCTGAGTATGCTATTCTACTCAAATTTTAGCGCGGCTTTTTTTAATGTTACATTTACGTGATCTGGTGATACAGTTTGTGATAATATTGAAATCGATGAAACTTGTATAAAAAAGCCAAACTTATTTTTCTTTTCCTAATTCTAAAAGTGTCAGGCATTGGACCTGAGTGCAAACCATTCTTAAAATGTGAATCAAAATGAATTTTAGAGGGCACTAATTTTGATATCTTCCGCATTTTTTTGGGATCAGAAATTGATTCAAAAATTATATAGAACAATAAAATTTAACTGGATTTTTTGTAAAAGTTCCATCCAATCTGCTTCAGTCTCAGTGCGGTTAAAAGATTCGCCATTATTTACTTGTGATCATGACCATCAGTTTCTTATATAGGCGGTCGAGTTATGCTAGTTACTTTTTTTTGCAATGAAATCTCGAATATAAGTAAGCTATTCATTTGATGAATGATGCTTTTTAACATATATAGTTCTTTCATTCTGTTCAAAGAGAAATCATGAGCAATGCAAATGACAACCCGTGACTTTTCATTTTCATTGTCTCTTGTTTTGCCTCTTCACATATGTTCCTGATGTCGATTCCTGCAATAATAATATCGATGTACTGTAAAACTATGTATCTATTTTCTTTTCTTATATCACTTTATCTCTAAGTGCGGAACTTATAATGTCATGTTACAATGCAGTTAAATCAGAAACAGACAAAGCGTCAAGCCCTAGTCTGGTGAACCTAAGACAAAATGCACTGTGACATACACACCACTTTTATTGGATACATTTTTAATAGAATATTCGCTGTTTATTTCTATTTATTAGTCTGAAATTCATTTTGAGTTTAACACAATATTTCGTGAGAAAAGTGGTAGAAATCTTTATAGATAGCGACACATATTTCTCTGTTTCCGTGATTTTCTCAGAAAAAGTTGGGTTACACCCAAAACGATTTCAGAATAATAAATAGAAGAAACTAATGGATATTGTATTGAGAATTCCTCCAATAGAAGTGGTGTGTATGTCAAAGTGCATTTAACTTAGATTCATCAGGCCTCAAATCACATCATCACACAAAGTATTTATATCAGATAAAAGGTTTCATAAAAATCTTGCTTTTTTCTCTGATGAATTGAAAAGTTCTTTTGGGTGAATCTCAGTCGTTCTTTTATAATGTCCAAAATGAACTGATAGATGGCGTTCATGTAGATAAATGATACATACACATATTTCTTGGAACAATTTAGCTTCAGCCAAAAAAAATAAGATTTATTATCAGAAAGACTACATGAATTTATAGAAACTTGGCCTAATGTAGTGTATGTAGGTCAAAGAGTATAGCTATAGCGACACTGGCATAAGCATATGAGTATCGAAATATAGTTATCAGGGTGTAGGAGTAAACATATATATATATACATAAGATTATACAGGGTGGCCCAAAAGTAAGGAAAAATAGTATTTTTATCGATTTCCATCTTATAGATTGTTGGTTAGGTCTGATATTTCTACCACATATACTAGGTGTGAGAGATAAAAGGTTGAGCANTAGAAAAAAAATAACAAACGATAATAGTCAAAATGGATAAAGTAATAAATGACTGTAATGATATTTCTCATGAAGTGAAACTTGGCAGATAGATGCTAAAATAATGATTACGATAGGAGAAAAAAAAGAATTGAATTATCATGATTAACAATGTTAAATGATCGTGTCATAAGCATAATAATAAATAGTCTATTTAAATAGATATTTGAAACAGATGAATTTTAAAAAAATGTTAAAAGTTTTTAAATGTAACATTGACATATCCCATCAAAAAAATATTATATAATGTAAGGAAGCTGTGTAACATGATAATTCGTTAAAAATTTAAGAAATTTTCAAACGATAATTTATCAAAAACAAGCGTCAAAACAGGTTAAATTTGCAAGCTTCTGTATGCAGCAGTGCAAGGAGTTTTTCATACAGTGTTATTCACTGCATACCAGCGACCTCAAAAATTAGAAAAATTTCATTTAAATGAGTATTTCCAAAATTATAATGTGAAATTTTTCATAATTTTAATTGTTTCACAAACATCAAAATCATTTCAATAGTTTCGATATTTTGGCATAATTTTCATTTGATGAATTTGCTTATTGAAAAAAGATAATAAAACTAAAAGCATTATTTTCATTACGTTGAGTTCATTTTCATTTCCTGATTTTGATTATTTCAAAGACTTGAAATCATTACATAAGTTTCGTTTTTGTTCGCATTATTTTCATTCGAAGATTTCGATTATTTTGCAAAATATAAATCACTAGATTCATTTCATCTTAATTTCAATTATTTTTCAAATGATTTCCGTGTCCTGCTTTTCGTAACGTTTATGAAGTATTTTTAATACTCTATGTACTTTGCCACTTTATGTAATGGTAGAGTAAAATGAACTTTTGAAAAGTTCACTGCAGAGCATCTTGAAGGGTAACCAACCCAAACTTATATAAACATCAGGATATTACTACTGATTTAGATGGGTAATTAAATCAGGTGCAATAAAAGTTAGTTTTTTTTTAATCCTCTGCATGACGAGAGTTTTCGTTGCATTTTATATGATTTGAATAAAATGATTTTCATGCCAAATTAATTGTCTTCATGAATAAAAATGTTGATTTTCATCCATGAATTCACAAAACATAAAAAATAATATTAGTTTCGTCATCTGAAATAATACTTTATTATCACTACAATTATTTCGTGTTAGACAATAAAAGCAAACAGTAAATAGAATAATTTTTTCTTTCGTTTGTATATATCTCAAGAGTTAAATGAGTTATGATTTCTTCTTTTACTATTGCGTATCGTTATATATACTAAAAATCTTTATCATAATATGACAGAAATTGATAAGACTATGACACATTTAATTGCTCAAGTATAGACAAACGAGAAAAAAATGATTCTATTTGCTGATTAGTTTTACTTTCTATTGCAAAATAATCGTGATGATCTTAAAATTTTTTATTAAACAATTGAAATTATTAGATTCAAGTAAAAGTGTAAACCTGTTTGAGAACTAAAAAGAAATGATTGTGCATCATTATTAGTATGATTTGATTTGATATATATTATCGATTGATTGTGAAGCATTGTTTACTAATAATAAAATATCTTTTATAGTACCAATTAATTGAAATAGTTTTGAGTATTTAAAATCAAAGAAAAAAGAAAAAGAAAAT